AAAGAAAAATGAAGAGTATCTGGAAGTAAAGATTCATGAATTATTTAGTATACAAACAGTGCATTATTTTTGATTTGCTACTACAAGAACATGTGCATTAAATATCTTAAGCTTTATTCTACTGCAGGCCATTTGTTGTCCTGGATTCACATATTGGTTCACATTTCTTATTTGGAATTCTCATATTTTTGCCATTGCTTGTAAAATATTTTACTACAGAAGTAAAATTAACAACCAGAATCTGACAAAGATCTGATGGAATTAAAATGCTAACTATTTTATGTTGAATTCCCTGTATCAGTCAAATATGTATTCTTACTAAAGCCACATAAGAGTTGCACTGCTAAAGACTGCCCAGTTTCTGCACATTTGAACTAGGTTCAAATGCCATTGCTCCTTTGCCCCATATCATTAGAAAATAAAAAATTTCAAAAGGAGTTCTTCCCAACAGGGGTGTCTAACCTGTGGCCTGTGGGCCACATGCAGGCTAGGATGGTTGTGAATGCAGCCCAATAAAAAATTGTATATTTACTTAAAACATTATGAGATTATTTTGTGATTACTTGTCACACTGTATTAAATGTGTGGCCCAAGACAACTCTCTTTCCAGTGTTGCCCAAAGACACCAGAAGTTTGGATACCCTGCCTTAAAATCATTCCCTGATAGAAAATGCTGCTTGAAGAAGGAGCACTTGTCCACTTGAAAGGGTTTATATTGATCTCATCTAATATCCCTCAGAGTCAAATACACACACACACAAATATAGGCGTATTTTATCTCAGAACCAAACAGACCTGGGCTAGCATCATGCCTGTCCTATTTACTAGATGTATGACCTTGAAGAGTTACTTAAAATCTCTAAGAATCTTTTGCTTTTCACTTGTAAACACAGAGGATGAGTACCAACTAACAAAGGCTGAAAGAGTTCCTTGTGACCATTACATACAGAATTTAACACATAGTAATTGCTCATGGACAGTAGCAATTATTGTTAGCAATCCCTATATGAAAATAGATCAGGATGATTTTTAATTTTACAAACAGTATAAATAACAACAATTACAAAACCAAACATATTCTGATATACAGTTTACAGAGCACATTCACATGATTCTTTCAAACAGTAAACTTCCAGAGAACATAGCTATATATTTAATAAAAACTCAACAAGAAGGAAAGATACTCTTGAACTAGCAATTCAACTGTTTGCTTCATTTTGTTGAGAATTTAATTCCATTCATTATTACTGGGTTGGGCCTTGAGTCTTAAAATAATGTACCATTATATTCACTCAACTAAAATAAGCAAGGTCATTCGTATGCAATGATGCACAAAATTTCTGGAAAAAAATGAGGCTTAGAAGAAATTGAGTGTCTGTCAAGCAAGAATATTAGAAACATTGATTAATGTTATTCTATTACATTTTTCTAATTTAGTTACCACAGAAAACGAAAGTTTTGTAACTTAAGTGTGAAAAGGAGATGAAAAACTTTTTAATGAGTAGAATCTTTAACTTGCAATATTTCATTTCGTGTTATAATTCTTTGGGAAGGTAGTCTGTGTTATACTTAAATTAGTTAAAAAACAATCCACAGGGCTAGTCTCAGCAATCTTAAAGAAACAGGTCTCTCTGTTTTACCTGTGTGTATGTTGCTGACCTTGCCAATATATTCTCTCAGAAGACTTTTTCACTTCAATGAGTTAAGTGGCTGTGTTTTGGAGGAGTCATCACAAAATGTTTTATTCATTTGTATATCTTACAACAAAACCCAAGGGTTCATTTGTTAACCTGGTAGATGTGGAATAGATGAGTCCAAAATATTACATTTTTTTTCTAAAAAATATAGCTTGCATTGTCTAAAATGTAAATATAAAATGTGCATAATGGACTCATATAATTATCATTCCAAATAAGAATTTAAAATGTTATCTTGGTGTATCCTTGAATGTTCTCATGGAGTTATGGAGTACTAAATCTTTCCTTCAAGAAGAAAAAGAATAAAGTGAAAGAATTCTTCATATCTTTTGTGGAACAAGGTAAGATATAATTAAATAATAAGAGTTTACATATACAATAATTATAGAACAAACCTTAGAAGTAAATGAAAAAGTAGATAACATAAAATAGTTCAATAATTTCTTAACTATAATTTATTAACCATAGTTAAATAATTTCTTAACTATATAGTTCAATAATTTCTTAATATGAAATATCATAATTAATTTTTTGTTCAACTAGATAACTCCCTAAAATTAATATTTTAATGACTGATTAGATATTCTTTTATCACTTTTCTTATGGACATGTGGAGACACACAGCACTGAGGAAAATTAGCACAAAGAAATTGAGCAGGTTCTATGGAAAAGAACATGACTGAGCCTCAAGTAGAAAAGGACATATGTTAACCAGGCAGACTTAAAAGAAATTATCTACGTTCTTTCTTGCAAATAACAAGGACATATGGTATATAGCACTCAAGATTTTGGAAGCTAACTCAAACTCCTTGATTCTTCACTCCCAGAATCTACTATCTACCATCAGTCTCGATGGATCTACTCTCATCTACCCTGTATGGCTTTGAATAGGATTAGATTTTGGATCTAATTATGAATCCATTAGTTATTATTTTTTAGTCATATTGTCTAATGTATTAGTGACTTTATTAACATGAAAAACTTCAGTAAATAGTAAAACTGGAGATAGATCTCTCTGTAATGAAGAATTAATACCCAAACCACTTGGTAGTTATTTTAATAAATTTCTATAATAAATCAAGCAAAGCATATTATTATGTGCCATTAGAATTACAAACAAGAATGTTTTACAGTCACAAATATTGGAATCATAATGAACAAATGAGAAAGTAAAAAGGATAGACACTAAAATTTCCAACTTTGCTATTACTAGGGGTAATATATACTCAATTTCTATGTGCAAAAATAAATAGGAATTATTTGAAATATATTCGAAAGACACTTCTACATGCTTTTATAAATAAAGTGACAAATAAATATGAAAGTCAGAAATTAATAACAAGAAGTCAAGGTTAAATAAGGAAGTGCTTGAATTATAAATACTGAATAATAAACAATCTGTACAGTCCTCATCCACCTTTTCTATTAATCGCAATGACAGTAATTGTTAAAAAAAAACAAACAAACTAACAAAGACAAAAAAACCCGACCTACTACCTTTTTTATAATGGCTGTGGTCAGAAGTGGAGGAAGGTACAAACTGAAAACACGCAGAGATTAGGGGATCTGACCTCACCAAAGCCTTCCTAGAATAGAAACCTCCTTAATAAAGAATACTTTTTCTGATACTGACTGGCTTTTTTTTTTTTTTACTTTATTAGTTTATAGCTGCTAAAAATCAACTTACTAAGGACTTTTAGAGGATTACGAAGAAAATCTTTTTTAAAATGCTCTAAAAGTAGACACTTAGAAGTTCACATTATTGTATGAACAAATTCAACTAAATTGTTCAAACAACTAAAATTAATTGCACTGAGAGAACTGAAGTTTTGTCACTTGCACCCTTTGGGTCATAGAAGAATGAGACTAGGATCCCAGACCTGCGAGGGGTGCACAAAGACATGAGAAAGGAGTGCAGAAAGGCAGTTGGAAGAGTATTCTGAAATTCAGTTGGTCCACAGGGAAAAAGGAGTAGAAACTTCCTTTCACTTTGCAGTGTGACCCCTTCAGAGACTGAAAAACAGAGCCTGACTAGTAATGCTCTGTTGTTCCTATGTGTGGTTTCACTTTGGCAGTTTACATTAGGAACCTATTGATTTTTTTTATATATAACATTTCTTATGTTGAAAACTATATCCTGGGTAAAATATAACCATCTTATACATAGTCTTTGGAGCAATTTCCATTTTAGGTGGCAATAACCTGTATTAGAACTAACATAGATAAGTATCTTAACAGAAAGTATTCATAGCAAGCAAACCAAAGTGCGTTTTAATTTAGTGATAATACTGAATAACTTTTATTCTATTGCATTTGGAAGGTCCCTGCTTGTGAGATGACACTTCACTCTATAGCACATTTTAGGTATTTTAGACATGCTGAAAATATTCTTGCAAAGTCACTTAGGCAAAGGCTAAATTTTGTAAACAATAGCTATAAATGATTGATGCCCAGTTCAAGACCCCTGATGCCATATTTTCAGAGTTAATAATTTTAAAAAGTTAAACTGAATTGTTTTGTAACAATTGTCTTATGTTTATTTAAGTATCACAAAATATTGGCTCCTAAAAGAATATAAACTTAAGATAGCCTGATGATAGTTTTTATTGAGATTTTGATAAATTATTCTAATAATTTTTAAAATATGCCAACATTTTGAACAATTTATAATGATTTTAAAAGAATTTAAAATAACCTACTTTTTAAAATTAAGCACTTTACTATTTCCAATACATACTAATGACATATATTTAGTACACACGTATTTACTTTTCCTTCCAAAGGTAATTTTACTTTTCAGTTAATTTTTAAACACTAAGCAATTAAAAGTTTCAATATACAATTTATACCTTTAATGTAATTTCATACTAAAATAAGGAGTTTTAAAGAAGACTTTTATAAAAGTATACAATATCATGTATTTACAAATTTTAATTATTTTAAACTTGTGACTAAAATGTGGAACATTCAGAAAATCTGCTGCAAAAAAAATCTGTCATATGAAGTGAATTATTGAACATAATTTTAAATGTTTAATGTGTAAAAATATTTGTCTCTGGAAAAAAAAAGCTTGGTTGAACACTGTAGTCCAAGGTTCATATTGAACTCTAAGTATTAAGAAGATTAAGTGATTCTCTGAACATCAGTGAGAAGTGTGTAGAAGATGGAGGTAACCCTTTGAAAGAAGATCTCTGTGACCTGTATAAATAGGAGCCCCACAAACACTTCCAACAAGCATAGGTCAGGATAGGGTCATGGCTCCAGGCCCTCTGGACCACGGTACACCCAGTGGAGTGTGCTCACCGCGTTAATCTCTCATCCTTCAGTTCCAGGTCTGCCACTGTGATGAGCTGATCCAGCTTGAATTTAGTGTCAATAATTTCTGCATCGCGAGGAGAGTATGTGCCACCTTCTTTCTGCTTCTGGCGAATTCTAAAATAAGTGTCATTGAATCCGAGAAGGGAATATCACAGAAAATATATGGAATTAGGTTTAATTTTCAAGTAAAGACATTAGTCAAATAATTTCTTTCTTGGAATCACTTCTCTGAATATACTACAAATTTATAGCTCCACATTTTTTTCAATTTTAATTCTATAGAGCTTGTTCTACTATATAGTTTTTATCATATTTTGTTAAAGTTTCAAATTTTAATGAGAATTAGTTGATCAAGACCTGAGCCACTGGCATATTTAAAATATAGAACAAATTAGACTGATTCTGTGCTTGTTTCTTCTCCCCTCTAGTCATAGATTTGTCACAAATAGGAAATATGTCAAAGTGGAAATAACTCATTGCTATCAGCACCAGTGCTAAAAGACAATGCTCTGTTGTCCTTACCAAAAAACATTTTTACATACATGAAAATACATAAAAATGTGTTTTGAACTGTCTAATTGACTTTTTAAAAACACTGTGAACTATATAATCTTTATTTACAATCAGAAATATCAGGATAAAAAATAAAGGTCACATGAATCTGAGAATCAAATTAAAATCCTTTCATTTTAAGTCATTTACATTATTTTTTATGACACAGTGCGATATATTACAAAGTAATACTTAGTTGTTTTATGTCTTTCACATTTCAAACATGTATTATTTGTTATAAGTTATGTAATGAAGATGACACAGAAAATATAAAATATTGTTCTTATCCTCAAGGATATTCATATTTAGTTAAGAATTAGGATCTAAATTTATAAAAAGCAGAAAAAGAGAAAAAAGATTCGATTTACAACTCATAAGATAGTAACTAATTAGTTTTAAAATGTTACATAATTGATTACAACTCCTATTATTTTGAGGAAGTAAAGATGTGGGATTCAACTTGGTAGTTCCAGAATGAGAAGGAAGGAGCACATTTCTGATTGACTGAACAAAAGTGGAGTTGTACAAAAAGTCTAAATGAGATGTTTAGGTGGGAATAGAGCCATTTGGCTAAAAAGATGTAGGGAAGTTGTAGGGAATATGGGAGGACCATCTCCTGCCCAAATAAGTAGTTCATCCTGTAGGGACATGAGAAGGCAAAAACAATTTCAGAGCAGGGAAAAATAAATATGGCTGATAGGGACAATGCCCACATCTTACACAATATATCTTTAAAATGCCTAGAATAATGACTGAACATCTTACTGAATCTGAGAACAGTATGGGGTATAGGAAAAATGGTTTTCAAGAATTCTTCAAACTACCCATCCAAATGATTTAAGAGCTTCAAGATGAAACAGATCATGCATGGAATTTAGAACAAAGAACACATTCTTCAGAAAAAATTAAAATACAGCATAGTGAGTTACTTAGAAAATTAGTAGAATAGTTATTTTTACAAATGTAGTGTACATTTAACTTGACAACCTACCTTATGAAAACAGACTTTAGGTTCATACTAAGATTCCCCCTGAAGTTGTGTAACCAACAGGTGAATTAAGAGATGGATACTGAGAATTTGGGACATTTAGAAAATATAGTACAGACATGTTGATAAAATAAATATAAAAAGGGGGTCACTACAGAAAGAAGTTGAACATCTTTGGTGGTATACTTACTGTAAAAAATTATCTTTTCTGTATAAACTTTAAATTAGACTTAATTAAAATATTTTTAATTAAATCTATCATTAAACCTTCATTCATAAATTATTTTAAAAATGTAGAAAGCCTGGCATTTTATGCTTTTGTGTTATCACTTTATTGTCTCTCAGCTCTAAATATACTCTTCTTTGTTCTGTTTGTGATATTGGGGCTAGACGCTGTAACATTTCTTCTTTGCTAGTGAGATGTTAAACTTTGCCAATAGAGGACACTAGAGTGAACCCACAAGGCTACAGGATCAGGGAGACACTTCCCTTGTGGGTTCTTTCAGCAATATTATTCATTGTGGCAGCCCAGGAGCCCACCTGGATGAGCTCTAGCTGCCTCTCAAGTGTTTGCTCTCCGCACAAATGAATGAGAACAAGTAGCTCCAGCTTATCCAAATATCCAGCCAGAATAGGCTGCTTCTACAAACTGATTCCAGCCCGCTTACCCTCTATTAATGATCAGTAGCTTCTAAAGAACAGCTACAGCCCCTTCCCTATTTCTGTGCACAGTGATAGGTAACAGGCTGCATGTGCTTGCGGTAGACACTCCTTGTTAACCGTGGGAGTGGGGCTTTTCTAGTTTTAGCTACTTTCTTGTCCTCTCTGTCTTATCTTATCCTCTGCTTTATTCACTTAATACTTCTGGACCCCTTAGAGTTCTCTTTACTCTCTGTGGTAGTCAACTATTTCTACTACTTAACAATTCTTTTTATTAAATATTTCCCCTTCAGGTAACTGTTGTGGCTTCTTGTCTCCTGATTGGACCGTGACTTAATAATCCCCGCAAAGCATACTAGGAATGCGAGTACAAATAATTCTCACCTTGCAAATGCAAAAATAGCTGTTCCAAGAAGAATGATTGAAAGGATACACAAAGTGACTGAAAGAATAATCTCCACAGTTCTTTCTGAAAGTCCTTCACCTGAAAAGGAGGAAGTATAATATTATCATTAATTATTATTATGGAACACTATCCTCAATCTCAAAACACAGAAAAAATTTTTTTGGAATATCGTTCAAGAATGCTAATAAATGTACAAATTTGTCTGTTCATCCTCTCCTAAATCTTCTAGCTTTGGGACTCAATCCTTGGACCTTTTTTTTTTCTATCTAAACTCACTTCCTGAGCCCATCCAGCCTCATGGCTTTAATTTTCATCTATATAGTATTGACTACTTAATTATTACCTATTGCACTTACTTGTATAACCAACTGCCTCCTAGAAGTATAATTAAAACTAAAATATCGATATTTCCAAAGCTAAACTCCTATACTTCCCTCCTTTCAAAGAAATCCCTCCACCTCTAGCTGATGGCAACTGCATTGTTCCAGTTGCTCGGGTCCAACCTTAGAGTCATACTTGAAACTCTCTTAGAACACATCCAAAATCTTTGAGAAAATCCTGTTGGCTTTTTCTTCAAATTATCTACCCTTTTCAAAAAAAGAAACTAGGAAAACTTGGATGGCAGTTCCAAAGTGGGAGTAGGGAATGAGATGAATTTACATATCTAATGAAGCTTGAAAGCTAAGAAGCTTTCAGAGACAGATGATATAAGAACAAAAGAAGCTCTTGAAGAGGCTCTTACTGGCCAAAGGGGGAACAATTCAAACTTTATAATAAATAAAAACAAATTGATTGAAATAGGATTGATATATAAAAATTCATATGTTCTAATATTATTTAATGAAAGGAAAATAAAAATAAACAAAAATACTAATTTGTAAATATTGGTTATAGCTAGACAGCCATTTCCTTACTCTAAAAATTTATAATTAAAGGGAGAAGATTAGGTATTTTTTTCTGGCTTTCTCCTGTGAACTATAATTTATGAATTTACAATAGGTCTAGTTAAAGATATAAAGCTCTTCATTAGAGAATAATTCTATTTAATAACTGTGGAAAGAATAATAAAATTAGAAATTCTCAATATTAGATTCCTAATGAAATAACTGATTCAGGAAACAATTGTTAAGTGCATCTTTAAATGATTAATAGGAAGGTTGATAAGAAATTGAATATTTATAGAATGCCAAAATAATTTGCTGGTTATAACAAGGGAAAAACAACTTCCCAATGAGGAATCATGCTGTCACTACTATTAAACATTCTGATCAATTTTGACATCATTGAAAAGATGACAGCAAGATATTATATGCCTTCTGATGTAATGTATTTTGATTTAGACATCAACACCTTTAAAGGATCCCTGCATAAACATTGCTTGTGAATATTCAGACCTTTAGATCTTACTTCTAACTTGTAAGAAAGTACTGAAAGGAGGAAAAAATAAATGATACCAAGTGAAAGTAATCAGACAAATACAGAATGTGGGACCTCCTACAGAACAACTCATCTGGTTGCTTCAATCACTTTATGTCGCAAGGGAAAAAGAGGGAGAAGTCTCTTCTAGATTAAAGAGATTAAGAGACCCCACAATTGAAGATAATGTGTAAACCTTTTATTTGGATCCTGATTCAAACAAATTATACAGAAAAATATCAGAGGATGATTTAAAGATGTATGTAGTATTATACAATATCAAGGATTTATTGTTAAGTTTATTTAACTGTGACAATATGATTTATATGTACTTATTAGAGAAGCATAGTAAAATATTTCAGGGTGGAATATAATGCCTTCCATGATTCACTTTGAAATATTTCAGAAGTAAAAGAACGAATACATAAAAAAAACATGGCAATGTGTTTAAAATTATTAAATATAATTAGTAGGTTTGGGGGGAGTTCATTACACTCTTCAAAATTTTGTGTATTCTCTGCTCATTTCTCACCACCTCTGCTGCTAGCGTCCGGATCCAGGCAACCACCCTGTTTTATGTGAATTATTATATGGACACCCCGCAAGCCTTCCTGTTTCAACACTTGTCTTCTCTCCCCCTATTCTCAACATAGCAGAAGATTCATCTTCTTTAAACTTTACCTCTCCACTTAAGAGACTCCTCTCTAACAGCAAAAAGCCAAAGTTCTTCCAAAAGACTATTTGACCTGGCCCCTCATTAACTCTCTAGTTCCCTGTTACTTCTGACTTCCCTTCCAATCTGTACCTTGTTTACTCTTCTGGAGCCAAACTGGCCTCCTTCTTGTTCCTGGGACACTAAGTCACCCTTGACATAAAGCTTCTGCACCAGCTTCTTCTTCTGCCTGGAAAGGTATATCCCTTGTACATCTGCCCTAGAGAGCCATTTCATTACCTTCAAGAGTTTGATTCTCATGAGGGCTACACTGACCACCTCTTATGAATATATAAGTGCCTCCAAATGCATGTGTTGAAGCTCTAAATTGACTACAACCTCAATCTTGCACTTTTAGCCTCCAGAATTGTCAGAAAATAAATTTTTGTTGTTTAAGCCACTCAGTTTATGATATTTTGTTAGGGCAGCCCAAGGAAACTAAAACGCCATCAGTTAAAAAAAAATACAACTAGTCCTGGCTGGTGTGACTCAGTGGATTGAGTGCCGGCCTGTGAACCAAAGCGTCGCCAGTTTAATTCTCAGTCAGAGAACCTGCCTGGATTGTGGGCCAGGTCCCCAGTAGGGAGCGTGTGAGAGGCAACCACACATTGATGTTTCTCTCCCTCTCTTTCTCCTTCCCTTTCCCTTTGCCTAAAAATAAATAAATAAAATCTTTTAAAAAATACAACTAGCTCATTTCTTGCCTCCCCCTCTATATCCTCTGCACACTGTCCTGTTCTTTCTTCATAGTCTTTATCACATTTTAATTTACCTTATAATTCATTTATTTATTATTCTTATTGTTTATTATCTGTCCAGAATATAAGCTCCCTGAGGACAGGAGTCTTTTATTTTATTCAAAACTGCATTTCAAGTTCTGAGAATAGTACCAGACACATAATAAATTATCAATAAATATTTGCTAAATTTACTAACAAAAATATTGATTTTGAAATAGATATTAAAAATTTTCAGGTAGAATATCAGGTATTGAGCCAAATAAGAAGATACAAATTATTAATTGTTTATTTTAGAAAAGCTACTAATAATATTTATAATCAATTTTAATTTATATTATTTAATTTTACTATAAAAAAGTATTAAAGTCAAGTGACAAAATAAAATAGGTTAACTATCGTGAAACCTGCATGGTTTAATGTTTCATATTTTTCCCTTGGATTGATGCGTATGAAATGTTTACAGTATAAAAGCGTTCCTGTGACTAATGTGCATGGTAGATTTAAATGAACACTGGGTCTTAAAGAGTTATCAGAGTTTTATGGTCCTCTAGAATCACCAGCAGAATTTAGAAGACATTAAAGCAGCAGGTAACTTATAAAGTAGGTTAGATACACCTTTTTTATACATTAAAATAGGAATGGTTGATATGATGAATTTTCACATGCTGACTCTAATTGGATATACTTGGGAAAGGAAACATGAAGATGAATAAATAATCTTTATCAGGTAATATTGAATCACTGGACCTAAGAACTCAGTGGGGGGAAAAATGATTTCATAGACTGCCATATTTTTTTCAGATTAGATTACCATTTCAAAGCAGTAGCCAACTGAAGTGAAGAAATTACATAAATGTATTAATAAACAATGTGTAATCCCCTGGGAAAGTACCCCTAGGAAAGGACAAAATATGCCATAGTTGTGAGAACAAATTCTGTTTCATTGTTATGCATGTACCCACAGAGCATTACCAGGAGAGAATGGAGACACTTCTATAATCTTGTCATAGAAAAGGGAATTCTTTCACCTAAAAATATAAACATGAATCTTTTTGGAATAAACACAAATCATTTCCTCACTAGACTTCAAATTCTGTAACAGGTCAAATTAAATTATGTTGTATCTGCATGATAAAATGTGCTACCATAATTAAGCAAACAATAATTATAAAGTACTAATTACGTTTTCATCAGTATTATCTTTTGATTGAAATTCCTGTTATTTAAACTCAGCATATGGATCTGATTTGTTAAGCCAGTTTTATATCTCTAAGAAGCTTAAGTTAAATGAGTTATAAAGCTTATAAGCTTTACAATGTGCGGCTCTTAGGTGCATATTACATGATCTTCTTATTAATCTTAAGAGAAAACAAGATCTTTTTAACAGAACTTCAATGTAAGGAGTTCTTCTCCTTTGGCTTAGTCATCCTGGATAATCTAATACTGCACAAAAATTTACTCAAAGTCACTCAATTTCATAATTCAATAAATATAAATTAAAATAACCTATGCAGATATTATGTTCATATATCATATTGGCAAAATTTTAAAAGTAGATAATATATTGGTTTCCAGGGTATAGGAAGTGTCACATTTATTCATTGTTTAAAAAAATACAAAAAGGAATTACTGTGTCTTTATGTGTAAAAATAAAGCATACTCACGTGAATGAATGTTAACTTCAAAAGCTAAGACAAGGAGGTGAAAAGAGAACAGTTAGAAATAACTTAAAATGTTGAGAAGAGAAAATGGTACAGCAAGAATAGGAAGTCCATGGGAGCAGAAACATCACTAGTAGTAATGAAATTGAGAGGTCTTGGGGCACTTAATGATTTTCAGGCAGCTGGTAACAGTGGTTACAAGCACAGTGCTGCTGACTAAGGCCGCACTGCCTGGGTCTAAAAGCTGGTGCTGCCGCTCCCTAGCTTGGTAACCTTGAGCAAATTGTTTAGAGACTTCAGATTTCTTACCAATAAATAGATGATATCTATAAGTCGGAGATAATGTTATAGGGTTGTTGTGAAGAATGCATGAAGTTATATATAAAAACGCTCAGAAAAGTCTTGGCACATAATATTTAGTATTTTTATTAATAAACATTTATTATATTCATTCATCTATTCATCAGATTTAATCTCCCAGTTATTTTGTGAGATAGGTTTTAATCTCATTTTCGAAATGAGATTTCTGAAGTTAATTTTTAAAGTAATTAACCCAAGGTCACATAAATTCAATATATGCCAAAAGTGCCTGAAATAATGCCTGTCTAACCACAAAGTTTATGAGTCCCCTCCCCAACACAACAATGACCTCTTTAACATAATAAAACTTTCCCTTATATCTCTGGTGTTTTGGAGGCAAGTGATTCTTTTGCTGCAGAAAATACATAGAGACTCCTTATTTCTGTTTCTAAGTTAGCATATTGGAACTTGTCACTGCTAGCTTAGTAATTAAAGGAGAAGTGTTATGACAGAAGAAAACAATCACAAGTGCCTTTGCCGTGGGGTGTAAGGTTTCATCTCGTTCAGCTTTAATGAAGCCCTGTAAGGTGCAGAAAGGAGTGTCTGGTTTTCAAATCACAGGAATCCTCTATAATTAAACCTCATAATCAAAACATTGCCTACAAGCTGTTTCCATAAACTGATGTGCCTAGGGAGGGTTTTCAAAGAGTTCAAGAAAGATTCTTGTGAATTTTGTTAATAAAAATGCTAATGCATAATCTTGAGTGAAAAAAAATTAAATGAGTTGTGAGTATTTCTTTAGGATTAAAATAATGGTGGTTGTCATTTCCCATGTTTATTCTTTTTAAAAAAATTTTCATCAATAACTTTGGGGTTTTTTCCCTTTTTTAAATTGTTTTTCAATTGCAGGTGTCCATAAGGACTTCCTTAAGTGCAAAATCCTCTTACACCCACTCATCCTTATGCAACCAAACTCTGCCTGGTTCCTTCTCACTTGCACTGTTGTCAGCCCCTTTCACTAAAGCACCTTAAGTCCATCGGTCTATGGTGATTTTTTATACATAATTTTAACTTCTGAATAGTAATGTCTCTGAGAGGCACAGCCACTATCAAAATAATCTGTCTTCCAAGTGTATGCCCTGTACTGATTTAGAAACACAGCCTTGCAAAAGCTCTTAAATCCTGAAGATTTTATTGATAGGCAATTCAGCTTGAGTTCATTCCCTGTGGTGTGCAAAATACCAGTGAATGAATGTGTATCTACTGGTGGTTTGATGACCTAACTGGGACCTATACTTTCACTGAAGTCTGGGATCACAAACACACAGAAGTCTTTAGTAGGTTAGTTAAGAATGTTGAGAGCCAATAGCCCACTGCAAATGCTATTATATATCCCAATACATGACATATTTGAGAGAAAAAAAGGACTTGAACATCTTTTATAATCTTATGATTACATCAGGGATATTATTATTGATGCATTTCATTATTTGCTTGCCCCCCATTCTCACAGCCATGGAGCCATTTTTGCCATTGACCATTGACTATTGTAGAAATGGTCAACCTTTTTTCTTTTTTGAGTCCTACTATATCTTCCTTGTCAAGGAAGATATGGCCTTTTATTAATGTCAAATCATGGACCAGGGCCATTTCTGAAAGGTGCTCTTTGATGCCTGTATCATTGAGGTAAACCTGATCGCCACAGAACCATAATATCTTATAGCCAGGTAGAAAACTAATGTGAGGACAGAAACTGATGGTGTTAAATCCATTAACCAGCAAAGTGACTGGACAGCTTTGCTAGTCACCAAGGAATTCCTCTCAAATGGTACACTTCATACTCCAAATCTGAATACCTCATTTCACCACAACTAAGGGTTGCACTTCTAATAGTTTCCTCTACTCCTGCCTGTCACTGTTTTACTAGTTATAAATGACTAGATAGCAGAACTCCATGTGGTCAATCCAGAATAAGCATTGCAGAGCAAAAGCCTATTTATTACAAAGCTGTTCTCTATGAGAAGAGATCCTATAGAAGAACGTTCTTAGTAGGAGCCTGAAAGACAGTCCTTACGTCACTGGTCTACAAATAATATGTGAACTCTGAGAAGTTTGATCATAGATACATGAAACCCTTCCTTGTCACTTCCCCTTATTACACAGTGCCTTTCCACTTACTGCATCCAGACTATGTTTCACCAGTCCCTTCTTCTTCAGCCTTAGCAGCATCCTGTGCTCTGCCTTTCATTCCATGTCTTTACATCCCTTCTAGACTCCTGCTGTTACCAGGGCACACAAGCATTAGTACCTGGATGACTGGGATGGTGGTGTTACGATTCCAAAGAAGGAACTAAGAACTGACTGTGTATTTCTGTTACTTTCTTGAGTTAATCTATTTTACTTCCTAGTCTGTGAGGGAACGGAAGAAAAAGAAGGCAATTGCTGATGAAAATCTTGAGATTACCTATAGCCAAAACACCAGAGAAGCACATCCTTGGTCAGAGGGAAGCCATTTGGCTGTATCAGAGGAATCATATCCCTGTACACCATGGTCTATGTGCTTGACTTTCCTCCTTTTTATGGCTTTTCATTCTCATTACTATTATCCTGAAAGTCTCAATTTTGCCTCTCAGATAACTGACTGAATGTGTTGTCCTCCTACCAATAACCTGTATGAAACCATCAAGCTCCGAGAGGCATAGCACACAACAAACGACACAGCACAGCAAGGTGGTCTCTTTTCAGCATTGCTCCTACAAAATGTCATCTCCGTAAGACAGCTGAGCTATTCACTTTGCCTTTGTCTCTGTCTCTTTTCTTCCACCAGCAAACATGCCAGGATCACTAGTTAGCTGTGGTAATAGTCTCTGAAGCTGTAATCTCGAGGAAGTCAAGTTGATGCTTTCAAGGCACTTGCTGTAGTGGTGTCAATTGTGTGATAAAATCACCTATCAAATGAAACATTCAAAGCAATTTTCGACATCAAAAGTCTAATCAGCCAGCTTTGAAATGATTAATTTATTGGGAAAAGTTAGTCAAACCAATGATTCTATGAAATTAGGAAGAATAGCCAATAAAATTTGTTGTTCTTCAAAAAACATCCAGGTAGCAAGTCATATACCCCTTCTTCATTTATTCAAGATCCAAAGTTTTTATTTATTTATTTATTTATTAATTGATTTATATTTTAATCTTAACCCAAGGATATGTTTATTGCTTTTCGAGAAAGAGGAAGGGAGAGCAAGAAAGAGAGAAACACTGATGTGAGAGAGAAATAACGATTTGGGGCCTCCCATATGCGCGCCAACCAAGGATCAAACCTGCAACCTAGGTATGTGCCCTGACCAAGGACTGAACCCGAAACATTTTGGTGTAGGAGATGGTGCTCCAATCAACTGAGCCACCCAACATGGGCAAGATCCAAAGTGATATTAATGAAGTTGAGGCTGCAGGAGCTGGCTTTCTATAAAATTGTTTAAAAAGTCTGATGAGAATTTCCAACTGAACATGATAGAAGAATTTATCTTTGTCCATCCACAACTCTCACTGAAATCTACTGCATCTCATGATATACTATAATGTGTATCTGAGCAACATACAAAGTTCCATAGTCTCAAAGTCTGGTGCAGAAGAAACTGGAAGTTGTGATCTACTCAGAGAAATTCTAGGGAAATAATTTCTTATAAGGAAGTATATTTCTAAAGCCGTTGATTATAACCTATCCAAATATAAGCTATTAAGCATTTAAAATTTTCTAACTATAAAATATTAATACCTTTACATATGTTGCTTTATTTAAATCTTCCAACATAGATATCATCATCACCATTTTCCAAATAAGGAAACTGAAGTTTATAGAAATTAAATTATTTTCTCAAATGGAGGAGCCAAAATTTGAATCCAGGTCTAAATCCTGTATTTGCAGTGTAATAACTACAAAATCTGTGCTGGAACCCTGGCCCAGGCACTTGATTACTTAATATGGGCCTTGATTTCCTCATCTATAAAATGGAGATAACATAAGCACCTGATAGAGTTTCTGAGCCTCAGCAAATAATTCTTTGCTGAGAAGGGTTATCCCATATACTCTGGATGTTCAGCAATATCTTTTGTTTCTGCCCACCAGATGCCAGCAGCTCTGTCCCCATGGTTGTGACAACCAAAAATGGTTCCAAACATTGTAAAATTTCTTTTGGAGAGTAAAATCACTTTGGTTGAGAACCACTGATCTAGATTAAAAGATAGTTGTGACAAGTCCATCAGTTAATACATACAAATAGCCTAAAAATATACCTGGCATAGAATATTTAATATTAGATGATGGCGATGACAAAGAAAAATAGGAAGAGGAGAAAGAGGAAGAGGAGTAAGAAATATACTTGCATCTGACTAAATGTATTTTTGTTTTATTCAGGCCTGATTAGGTAGATATAATCTAAAAAACTCATGAGAGAGTTGATTAGAAACAAATCAAAATTAAAGATGACTGGTAAACTTCTAGTTTTATAGGATTATTTCAGAAAAATTTCCATAATCCTTTTTGTTTTTTATTAGTTAAATATTTTCTGTAAGATAGTATATTGAACAGCCAAATAAATATTTGCATAGTATAATGTTAGTACAAATCAGGATAGAACCAATATCAATTCAAAATCGAGGTCCAGATTTGAATGGATGGAACATTCATCTATTAATATAGCATTATCAAATACTATTTCCCTTAATTAGGCTAATTAACCTGGAGATGAATTTATACTTGAGAACATTCATTCATGGATTAATGCATTTACTAATGAATGTCACCCTCTAATTAGCATGTTGAGCTATAAATGAAAGTAAACTACAAAATAAGTCTTACCTAAAGTCTTAACAGGGTCAGAGTAATCAGAGTCAGTAAATTGTCCCATGATATTTGTGGCTCTAAATTTAAATCTATGAAATAGAAAAAAAATTTAAAAACCAACAATTAGCATGTCATATTTTTTCTATAATTTAGCCAAAAGCTATTAAAATGAATATTTTTATTCAAGATAAAATGAATTTACAAGATGTAAACTTGAAATTCAATTCCCATCATGTTAAATGAAGACTATCTTTATGTAAGATGAATAATTATCCAACACATGGACCTCATGAACTTCATGAGAGGGTGACAAAGAATCTGAGCAGACTCACGACCAGACAGCAGCTAAATTGAAGCATAATACCTCTTTCACAGATTTGTTTGAGTAAAATAATTTAGCTTCTGTGAAAGTGTGTGCACAAACATACTTTAGAAATATAAAACATAGTAACTGTTGTACCTTGACCATCTTTGAAGATACCAGTAAACTAGATTTAGAATCGTCATATAGAACTTGTTCATATACACACAATTAAGACCAGCATTTCTTAATTCTGTGAGTGCACAGCTGTATTTTTACTTCCTATGCTTTTATGAAATATGAAACAGAATATGGGTGCAGAAGAGAATCAATCTTAAAAATCAGTAGGTGATTCTAACATATGCAAAGACAATTAAAACACCTTATTTAAAAACTATAGACATCCAGGCATTTAAAAATAGAAAACCAATTTACATTAATAAATTGCAATGCATAATTAATCTCTACTATTCTCAAGTTCTTATGATTCTATTGATTATATGAAGAGTCTGTTGTGGAAAATACACAAAATAAAAATATTCTTGATAAACATTAAACTTTGTGATATATCATTTTCATAATTATCATATGTATAATAATTACATTTCAGGCAATAATGTTTTAACCAAAGTAACTGTACTTAATGATAAATAGAGCATTCTTTTTTTAATTACCTAAGTTCTCAAACTTTTCTAAAGCTAATTTGGTCTATGATACTTATAAGTAAATTAGTACTTTAATTAGCTGGCAAGATAAGTCTAACTGCATTTTTCAAATTGAGTAGTAAAAAATTATATTTTAAAAATCAAATAATTTAAAATTTATAAAAAGCTGTCATCTTATGATACAAATATAATGGTCAATTTTATAGGAAAAAGAATCAATTTAGTAAATAAATTAACAAAGCCAAATAGCAGGAGTGAACTTTAATATGATATTCAATTATTAGGATCTACAAAATGCCAAATGTTAAAGTGAGTTGTAAAGATTTCAATCACTAATTCAAAATTTGATGGTATAAAAAACATAAAATTATTGCTATGAATAAGGTAAACTGAAGTCATCATTAACCAAAAGACTATGATGGTGTTTCTAAAAACCAGCATGTTAGCATGCATGACAAAATGAGTGAAAAACACAAAATATTACACATTAGTCACATTGTCCTCTACAGAAATAATTAAATTCTCCTACCTATATTCTCTAAGTGTGAATTTTTCATATTGACCTTATGTCACTTATCAGATCAAATCATAATTACCTTTAATTATTTTTATAATTAAAAATAATTAAGTTTGCCTGCTTCTCCCATAGAACTGAATGTCTGTGGAATGTGAGGACAATCCTTTGTTGATCTTTACATTCCTAGGAACTAAAATATCAGGCCATAATACATGATGGATGCCCAGTGTTTACTGGAAAGATAAAAGGACAGGTGGGTGGCTGGATAAAAGATGTCAACTAGCCTGCTAACACAATGCATGGCAGTTATAAACTGTACTTACAAATACTGCTTTTTTGGCTTCAGAGGTCCATTGCAAATTTTGTCTTCATTGCCCGGAATCATACATGCATGATCAGCACCTATGATGTAGATTTCTTCATTGCTACTAAACTTTGTCTTTCCTTCTGTACATGGAGGGTTAGGAAAGCCTTCATTTGTAAAATATGGCCTTGGTTTATTAAAATATGCATCATACCACTTTGTTACATTTCCATCATGCTGAGCTATTTTCAGAAAAAAAGAATGATGGTTACAAGTAACATAAACATGTATTTTCACATTTATAAAGGCTGTTTTTATAATTGCATGAGGAAATCCCAGACAAAATATCTCTCACTCCAGAAACCACCAGAGATGATTCAGCTGATTTACCTAGATAGGCAGCTAGAGAAAAAAACATCCCTCAGTCAAGGGTAACTCTTTTATTCACAACTGTCAAAGAAGCTATCAAGACTCCATCTTGCAAGGTCAGAACAGTCCTACTAGGATATGGAATAAATAAATCACATTTTTAAATTGTGCATTCTCTTATATTTATAAAAATTTTAGGCATAAATAAAAGATTAGTATAGTTAGTGATAATATTGAAAATCTATTAAGCTCAAGAGTTGTGCGATAATCAGGAGTCAAATGATATTACTTTTGAACTGAATTCTGAACCAAAATTTCTATACCATTTAGCAATTCATACTTTACAACTTAACAAGAGAACTTAATATTTGATGATACCTCCAGCTTCTGCTACAAGCACTTGCACATTTTTGATTGGTCCATGATCATCATTGTAGTAACATATTGGCATTCTGATTGTAATTGTTGTTGAAGTCACAAGCAATTTCCCTGTGGCGTCATAAATAGGGGTTGGCTTGGTTTTTGGTCGTGCTGGAGCTATAAACAAAGAAGAAGTATCATAATTGATTTTTTATGTCTGAAGAGAAGGAAAAAATTTTTAATTTTATTTCATGCAGGTAATTTACAGATAAAGTGATGACAAACATAAATAAAATAGAGTTTTGTTTTGATTCAGCAAATATTTAGCAATTATTATCTCCTCATGGTATAATTACATATTTGAGACTTAACCTGAAATGAATGTGACTCATGTGATTTTTGTACATTTAATCTTCACATATAAAATAAATTCAAATTATATATGCTTTCACTCATATATAAGTTTTATCAATGGATGACATAAAACTACTATTTTACTGTTTTATTTCTTCTTTAAATCTTTTAGCTAGTTTACCCATTTCTATTCTAGTCATACCAGCACCTTCCCCTGCACCCCTCCCCACCCCACGCCCGGTTATCCATCCCAAATGTCCTTTTATTTCTGTGGAATAGAGTCTCAAGAATAGAATTTCTGGAACAAAAGATATATGTATTTTTCACTTTAATAAATATTGCCAGAATAATTTCTAAAAGTGCCCTGATAATTCACATTTTACCATCGAAGCATACAAATATCTCAAAAATCAATATTTATAGAAGCTCTGTTTATTTAGTTTCATTTTATAGCTATATATATACACCGGCTGTTCAAGCAACAGTCAGTTGCTTAATCAAACTGCAATTTCTATGTTTATTAAATCTTTTTAAAAAGCCTCTCAATAATGCTATAAGATTGGCAATATTATTTCCATTTTACACATGAGGAAATGCCCTATGTCACATAGCTATAAAAGGGAAGCAAATCTTTTTAACTCAATCCTTTAGCTCATTCCTCTGAGATGTAAAGACTATGACTGTGGATGTGTAGCAAGTTCATTGGGGAAAATATCTGTGAAAGGTAAAGAGACAGTGAGCAGGAGTAGGTGGTAAGAGTCTTTAGACCACAGATCACAGGTCTGATACCCGTGAAGATGGAGAAGGAAGAAAGAATCCAGCAGGAAGAGCCGCAGGTTTCAAGGAGTTCTGAGGAGTTCTCAACAGAGCTACTGGGGAGTGCCCAGCAAAAGGTTTCTAGTTAGAAGAATCTGGCATTGGACATTACTATCCAACTTGACATTGTTTGTCAAATGTAAATATAATGAGACTACTATTAATTCAATGTCACTCTATGTTACTAACAAAATCATTCATGTTACTGAAGAAAAATTAATTTCTCCAGGACCCCAACCACTACAACCAGTACTCATATACCTTCTCTAGATAACTGGTCATTAGTCTACCCGCCCTAGCTAAGGTGTGGAAAGTAAGGATTAATCATCTTTACCTGGGATAACCAAAGCATCTGAAGTGGGCTTTTTTTTACTAAAGAATTAATACAATTCATCTATTGTTAACTGCATACCCACATGTCTGCCAATGAATAACAGATGCAAGCTCTCCCTTATGAAGTTAATTTAAAAAATTACTGATATTTTGAAGACTATGTATTTGTATATTCTAAGCAATAATTTATCAATTAAAAGCAAATAATTAACACAAGTATAGTATCGCAATTATGTAAAATGCCCATTGATGAAAAGACAAAATTTATCAACTTCACCTTACAGTAAATATTTCCTATTCTCGAGAGTATTAGTTTGCAGGCACTGTCCTTAGGGTTTTCTAAAGATTATCTCTTTTAATCCTCACAACAATCTATGAAGAAGGAAATGGCATTATCTCCACTATACAGGTTTATAGATGTTAAGAAACTTGTCCAAAGTCAAATGAATATCAAGTGGCTCATCCATGATTCTACCTCAGGAGTCTGACCCCACTGGTTTTAATCACTGTGCTCCGCCGTCATTACCGAAGACTGAGAAAAGTTGCTTCTTGCTATAAAGAGAGAAGCATCAGGGGGTGCAATTCTACTAGTGGGCCATACATATAAAGTTTTATTTGTTTTTGTTTTGTTTTGTTTTTAGCTCTCTGCAGGTTTTATACAGATTTTTAGACAGATGGCATAACTACATACATGTTTTCAGTCTCAGGAAAAGATGGTACCCGGAATGACTGAATGGCCTTGAATTTTGGAGGGTGAGGAACTCCAAATTTTAGTTTTACTTTCTACAAAGACTACCTGTCAGAATAATGAATTGATAAATCAGAATTTTTATAATCAGAATCATAAAGCTGAATACATGGTAGTTCAGTGAACACTATTTGATTAACTGAAAAGAACTTGACTTTCAATATAAATAAAGGTCATCCAAGGACTCTAATTAAAACTCGTCAACTTCTAGTCATGGGTAATTTAAAAAATGAGTTTTGTCTTCAATAAAATTAAAAATCAAAATAACAGACTATAAAATTTGTCTAAGAAAAGTTTAAAGTTAGAGATAAAGATAGAAGAAAAATAGCAGGTGAGTATTCTCTCTATTTAACATGGTAATTTGCAGCATTATTTAGGCACTTCAATTGTAGTTTTATTAAGCATACATTATTACTTAAATATGCTTATTATATGCACATGCATCATTTAAGTTGACTACCCCCTCAAGTCTAATACAAAATTCAAATTATAATTACTATTTGATTAAGACAACAGCACTTGTGTTTGAAAGACAGCTCATGTATGTACCTTTAATATCCATGGTTATTCTCATCTGAACCTTTGGCCCTGCACCAGCACCATTGATTGCATAAACCTAAAATAAAAAAAAATCTTGTTACTATTTTCAAATTATTGCTTATGTGTGTATGTATACCTGATTATGGTTTTATGTAATTTTAAAATGATTCCACTTTTAAAAACAATTGCAAATAGTTTATTAATTACATTTTTATCACATTCACTTAAATGTATATTATATGTAGAGAAAGAACATTAACAATAAAGTAATTCTTACAACCGATCTTATGTTACTAAGCCCTGAGAACAAAGACTGTGTGACCTTAATAGCTCTATCGCAGGGCCTAGGAAAGGAGTGTGGCTTCAACTGGAACCCATAGGAGGAAAAGAAAAGAACGTTGTGTGTGTACGCTCTCTTTCTCTACTCTAACATCTGTTCCTCCTCTCTGTAGCTAGGTAACTGACTTTCTGTAAATCCATATTCAAGATCCTCTTTTTTCCTTCGCTGAGATGAAATCCTATTCCTTCAGCCTCCCAGTTTTCCTGTATTAAATCATCCCTCTGAAAGTTGCCCTTTATGCCCTTCTTCACCCCTGCCCCAAAGAAACTGACGCTATAACCTGCATAATGCAGCATATACACATAAAGCATTTCTGTTTGTATATACAGAGGGTGATTTACACAGATGTGAATCCTTTCAATTAACTTTGTGCTTAGGAAACTGTAGACACAAAATCTTCTTTTATTCACATTATATTGCTATATAAAACAAAGACTATGTTCTTGGCCAGTTTTATTGTACTTGATAAAGAAAATTCAGTATATAATATGTTGATTGAAATTAATTAATTTATCTATTGGTGACCCACAGTCCATACTATAGAGTCTTTGATTAAATTAAAATTATAGTGGTATATATGATGTGGTATTTATGCTGTGATAAATAAACCAAGCTCCCAAAATGTAGTTAAAAATATCTAAAGAAAATATTTATTAGAGTTTGTAAATTTAAGAATGTATCCACAACAACAAATGATATTATGGTGTGCTTCATTATTTTTAGTTCTTTATGGTACATCATAACATTTAAGTTTCATAATAAATGATGAGTTGGGCAATGCTTCTCAAATTGCATTACGGAAAAAAGTCACTTGGAACCCTGGTAAATGAAGATATGCAGATTTTGATTCAGCAGATGGGGACTTTTAATAGCAAAGTCAGGATTTGAACCAAGGCTGTTCATTTCTTTTAACCACCATTCTCCCTCTAACAATCATTTCACAACGGTAGTCTATTTAATGGTATGTGCACAAGAATCTTAGCAAGACATATTATGTAATAATATATCAAATAAGCAAGGGAAGAAATATACATGTGTATACTTACACACAAATCATGATGATAGTATTCTCATAATTACAGAGTTGGTAGGAGAATTAGTTAATAAGCTAAGGTTTAATGTGAATTCTATGTTGCTTAAAAGATAATTTTCTGAATCAGATAATTATACTTGAAAATTGCAAGACTTGCCACAAAAATCATCAAAGGAGGAAACAAATAGTGAGTGTAAGTGTCTGCATACATGTGTGTGAACTCACATACATGCTTACCTTCCAAAATGGATAATTTAGAATGAAAATATGAAATGTTATTATCTTTTAGTAAAAGTTATGTGAACTACATGTGACTTTAAGTCATGTAAATAATTATATCTGCTCTTTGTCTTTGAAATTTGCTTTTCCATTTATAATCACACTAATAGTTTTCCAGTTGGTAGAACTCTTTTATATACCACTGCTCTTTGATTTTTAACACACATTTCCTTCCTTTTTATTTCTGCATCTCTACTAAAATCATACAAATGTTTTAATTATCTACATACTTTTTATAGAATTTTCTGTATTATAATAGGAAATCAACAACTTTATTTCTCCAAATCTGTTTGTTTGTTTTTTTTTGCTGGTATGTCTTAAACAATCCCACAAAAAGAGGAAAAATTTAGTGTGTACATAAGCAGAAGTAAATTTGAATACTGAATTTGTAAACTAACTTTGTAAAATAGGCAAATAATTAAAAGCTATGAATGCTTACACTGATATTGTATGTATGTCCACCTTTTAGTCCTTCTAACATTGCAATGACGGACGTGTCAGTTTTCTGGATAATACTGAGGTTGTGAATCTGGACAGCAGTAGGATCATCTTCTCGGTAAACTAGAGCTTGATATACTCGGATATTTCCATTGGGTTGAGAAGGAGGAAGGAATGTTAACTGAAATTTTGTAACTTCATCTGGTATCTTCTGAAATGTCATGTTGTTAGGCGGATCCTTAGGGACTAAAATGAAATATTTAGCAATTAAATCTTACAAAAAAGTGTTCTTTTTGATCTCCATATAAAACTAATTCACTTCAAATTGCTGTTTATAGGAATATTACCCAAACTATTTAAACCATTTGAATTATGGAAATGAGCAAAACAGCTGATGTGCTGTAAAATCACTGACATCTTTAGGTGGCAGGAACCATAATGCTGATCCAGTTTGTTTGCTTATTTATTTATTTATTTATTTGTTATTTATTTAGCTTTTATAGGCATTTATTTTTATACAGAGCACATTTCCATGGCTATTTGAATTTAATTAAAAATAATGTAGACTCATAGGAAGTTACAAAATCATGCACTTCCCCTAGCTTTCCCCAATGGTGACATCTTACATAACTATAGTTTAATACCAAACCTGGAAATTGGCATTGGTACAATGCTGCACTACAAACCAAATTCAAATTTAAGCATTTTTATGCTTCTTGTATGTAGTTCTATGCAATTTAATCCCATGTATAGATTCCTATGAGCATCAGCAGAAACAAGACACAGAGCTATCCCATCACCAGACAGGAATTCTCTCGGGCTCTCCTCGTATTTGCCCTCCCTGTCTCCCAACAGCACTAATCATTCCCCATCCCCATAGTTTTGTCATTTTGATAAACATAATGCATAATGGCTGTGAGATTCATTAGAGATGTTGCATATATTGGGAGTTCATTCTTTTTTTTATTGCCGAGTAGTGTTCCCTTACATGGGTGTATCAGAATTTGTTTAATCAAAGAAAAACATTTGCATTGTTTTCAGTATTTCTGTTATTACTAATATCTCTGCCTTTGACATTTACATACAGACATTTGCATGAACATAAGTTTTCAATTCTCTATGATAAATTTCCCAGAGTGTGATTGGTAAGTACATGTTTGGTTTCGTAAAAGATTACCCAGCTGTTTTCCAGTGTGACCATACCCTTTTATATTCCCACTGAAAAGTATGAGAAATCCAGTTTTTTTGCATCTCTGCCAGCATCTGATATTCTCACTATTTTTAAAATTATTATTTTATCTCTTCTAGTGGATGCAGTGATATCTCATTGTGGTTTTAATTTGCATTTTCCTAATAAGTAATTATATCAAAAATCTATGTTATCGTAAGTTTATTTGCCAATAATATTTCCTCTTCTGTGAAATGTCTTTTGGCAATTTTGTAATTGGATTTTTTAGAGTTCTTTATATAGTCTAGATATTCCAGTTTATTTTTGATAGTTAAATATCAATAAATTATTTTGAAAGTGATACACATGAGAGTAAAATTACTTTATGAATGTAGTTCATAATAATATATGTTATGAACTAGTTTTTGCTATACTCCATAATTAATGTTCTTTATATAAATGACTGATTGAGTGAATATATCTATTTTGACCAAATTGAAATGGATTTAGTCTTCCATTCTGTGTGAAGAATTTCCATAAAGAAGGCTGTTAAGAGCTGGCTGCTTGAAATTCAGGTACAAGCTTTTTTTTTTTTTTATGAATATCTTTACAGATAGGCCTTTGTGGAAAGAAACATATAAGTAAATAACAGTGAGAAAAAAAGAATCAGGTATTATTGTGCCAAATATCACATTTTAAGTACAGAAATACATAGCAAAAATTAAGGTTAAATTGGTTCAACACACATTTTCACAACATATGGTGTTATACATTTTTAGGATATATAAGAAATTTTTTTTTTTTTTACAAGAGATGTGTCTCTAAAATAAGATCAGATTTAAAGTTGGATAACTGGAAGAATCCTCTAAGTGCTGGAAAGAACTTCCTATCCTACAAGTATATTTGGTCTTAGATCTAAAATTTTACTCTTAGATATTTAGTAAAAGTTTATTATACTACAATATCCTTGAAAGAGGTAGCATATTAACATTCTCAATCAATGCTTTATGGCATGAATGTGAATAAGTTCCGCAGCATCTTTCCTCACAGGTAGCCAGGATGAGGGAAAATTGCAATGAGTATTGAAAAAAAAATCGTTATCTGGGATACATGTGCAGCAAAATGGAAACAAGCAGAATTTTAGGGTTTGGAGAATAAGAAGTACCTTTTAATTTAGAACCATAACAGTAGACAATACAGTAGATGACATAATGAAAAGACTAACTGAAAAGTACTTTTACCTCCTATACTTACCTGACAGATAGCAACAAATAAACTATAGCAACACATCCTTTCATGTGCTCTTTCCAAAGATATATCTGGTGGCAAAGAACATCAGGAGTCTGAAGGAGGATGGGGCAAGCAAGCTCTGGGAAGGTGACTCCACATTTAATTATTATTGGTTACAATCTTATTATTCATTCAGACCCTGTTCATAGGAACTTGAGGAAATCTGCATGGATTCTGACATTTATCAAATAGATTATATAATGAAACATGTAGTGAAGAAAACAGATATGATACACAGGACCTAGATTCTAATATCGAAATCCAGATTATTTAATAATAGAATGTTGTCACTTTAATGTATGTTTAAATCATGAGACAGAAATAATTAAAATGGAGTTTTAGGTGAAACATTATTGGCTATAGACAACTGGAAAGATCATTTCTTCAGCAAGATACCAATTTCTAAAACATTTAATGTTTAAATAAATGAAAAAAAGTACAATTGGGTTTATGAACTAATTTGTTTTTGACTTTACAAGGATTGATCATTCTACATGAAATTCCACTTTGCCTCAAAAATAGAAAGCTCTGCTTTTGTCAGTCAGAGTGTCACTGGATTTTATATTTACAGGCTTTAAAATTTTCTTGTAACATGTACTCCTTTTAGGGTGGGGTTTGAGAAACTTTAAGAGAGATACCCCACTAGGTCAATTTTTAGCAATGATGAAAAATATTCCTTACCTGATTCTAAAGTAGTAACAATCACTGCAGCACTCGACTTTCCTTCTGTATATGCAGCACTCACGTTTCCAGTGAATACAGTGATCACCACAGAATACCTTGTGAATATTTTTAAATCTTTAATTTCTATGGTTTTATTTTCTTCATTTGACTTGATTAAGGAAATATTAAATTCATCACTATCTACCTATAGAAAAAAATTGCTAACAATTAAAAGGAGCATTTGAGATACAAATCACTAAAATATAATAATACAAAGTTACACATGGTATATTTATCTAGTTAAGACTTAAATTGAGTCAACCCTTGAACAACATGGGTTGGAGCTGCGTGGGTCCACGTATAGGAAGATTTTTTTCAATTAATGTACTGTTTTCTTTTTTTTTTTTTTACTTTCTTTTTTTTATTTTTATTTTTTATTAAATTAATTTATTTACTTTTTAAATACATTTGTCTCTGCCTTCCCCCCACCTCTTTCCCTTGCCCCCTCCCACCTTCCCTCCCTCAGCTGTTTTCATTCTGCAGTTAGGAGTCTACAGGTGCAGCAGGCAGACTGTACGCATTGACCTACACCATTTACATAGGGAATTAAAACATCCGAAGCATGTTGGTAGCCACAGGGAGTCCTGGAACCAATACCTGTGGATACTGAGGAATAACAAGTTTTGATGAAATAAAAAGTTATATGCAGATTTTCAACAGTGTAGAGGTTGGTACCCGTAACTCCCATGTTGTTAAAGGGTTAATAGTATTTTTTTAAAAACAGATACTCCTGTAAAATCTAGTGTTACTTTAACAGTTAATTAATTAGTATTTCAACAATTAAAAGTAAAAGAAAAAAATTAACCCATCAAAAATCATCAAAATCAAGCAAAATTCATCTCTGCAGTAAATGGAACACTATTTTTCTACTCTAATGCTTTATTGAAGAAAGAATATAAGTTTTGATACCCAACCATCAAGGGTTAAAATTCCAACTTAGTCACTTAATAGCTCTATATAGCATTTGTTAAGTCACTTATGCTATCTGTGTTACTTTCTGTGTATGTAAAACTGGAGTGCTAATATGTATTTACAGTGTTTTGTTGACATGTAGAAAAAATAGATCTGAACTATTTTGTTTTTTTATACCATGACTCAAAAAAAAAGCACATTTTGTGATATAATTCAGGATGTGTGTGTGTGTGTGTGTGTGTGTTGTGTGTGTGTGTGTGTACAGGGTCCAGCACAAGTAATGCTCCTTTCTTATTACAAACTCTTTAATTACAAAATCATAAGCATGTAATTCTGTAACATAACAATATCATACTCAAGCAAACCATATGACATTTTAGGTGAAATCTTCAGATAAAACTATAAATTATAATACCCACATTATTAGCCTACCAACCACACTCAAGCAGGTGTTACTTTACTGGACCCTGTATGTATACATACCTGAAAAACAGTTTTCAGAAATATACTTGACATTTTATATACTTTTAAATTTTATTCCAATTTATTTAAAAATGCTAGTCTTAATTGTACTTTGAAAAACTCTGTTCTACTGTGGGAGCACGGTGTTGGTGAGGTGGGGGAGATCAATGGGGAAAAATTGGGACATTTGTAATTGAACAAGAATAAAAAATTAAATTAAATTAGGGGTCGAAACAAGAAGAATGTTAGGGGTAGAAAAATGCTAATCTACCACTATTCATGACACTGGATAAGAACTCAATTGTGGGTGTCATAATTATTAAATGTACACAAATTAATATTGTTATATATACTAAATATGCTTGTACAATTTATTTAAACATGGTCTGTCTTTGATGGAGAGTCTGGCCTATTTGCTGGAGGGATTAAACACAGGTAAAGATTCTAGCACTAAGGAAGGGCTTTTCTTTAGATGAAAATCAGAAAATTAGAAATTCTCGTATGCACGTTCATCTCAGGTACATGATTTTGAAACACTTTAAAACAAACTATGCACATTGTTTTCAGTACTAAGTTCATTTTCAACATGACCTGCCCTGCTAATTTTGAAAGATGGTTTTTGTTCAGTATATGGTCCTCAAATGGTCTTTTCTAAGAGCTTTTTAAACTTAATCCAATAAGAAACACAACAAAAGGCTGATACATAATACCAACTTTGGAAAAAATCTAATAGAGTTTTCCTACCTTAACACAGAGCAGTGGAAGGAGGTATTACACTGCTCTAAAATGGCAGGAATAAATTATCCTAGAAATCCAATTAATGAGGTGCATATTCCCACTGGGAGAAAGTGTGCATTTAATTAGTTGTCAATATTTAAATATCACATGAGCATCTGGCTTTTAAAATTTTCCTTAAGACCAGGGTTATATTCATACTGAGTAACAATTATCTAGAGATGAGTGACAGTTGACTCCTATAATGGAACACGGGTCCCCAATTCATCACTGCCCCGCCCAGTGAACTTCATTTTGACTGCTCATTTATGTTATTTGCCTGACTACACACTAGAGCTACTTGAACTCTGATTTTATAGAGTTGAGGTGAATTCCTCAAGATTTCATACAAGTAAGTAGCTGACACAGGATTTGTGGTGAAGTTTTTCAATAGTCCAGAACTCGCTGTGCTACCATAAGATGTTATAAAGTGAAATTAAACTAATCCAATACCCTCAATGACAACAATGGTTAACAAATATTGAGAAGTAAAAGTATGATACAGCATGTAGGTGATCTACTACATCTTTAAAATTTCTAATAAAATCAAAAAAAGAATTCTGGGCATTCAAATACAGCATGTATAAAATTTACCACCTTTCTTCACTAAACCTACTCTGTCTTTGTTATTGTTAACCATTATTTGTCCACTTACCCAGGACTGATACCTCAGACATTTTTGACTCATCATTTCCCTTCAATCAGTTTCAAGATGTTTGCTCATGTTATATTTGATCACCTATTATTATGAAACATTTTTATTTATTTCTGAAGTGTGGTAGTTTTATATACAATGTTAGTAATTAGATTGGTTCTATTTATTTCCTTTTTCTGTTCCGCCTCCAGCTTTCCTTACTTGGTAAACCTTTACTCATTTCTCAAGCCCCAGAACAAATTTAACCTGTTCCGTGAAGTATTATCTACATCCTGTGTCCCATATAACAGACTAACCAAGGATGTAAAAGACCTGTACTCAGAAAATTATAAGATACTGAAGAAAGAAATTGAAGAAGATACAAATAACTGAAAGCACATACTGTGTTCATGGATAGGAAGAATTAACGTCATTACAATGTCCATACTACCCAAAGCAACCTATAGATTTAACGCAATAGATTCAGGAGTCCAATGACATATTTCACAGAAGTAGAAGAAATATTTCAAAACTTATATGGAACCACAAAAGGTACCACACAGCAACAGCAATCTTGACAAAGAAGAAGAAAGTTGGAGGAATCACGCTACTTAATATCAAACTATACTATAAGTCGATTGCATATTGACTACTTATTATGTGTCAGACAATGTTTTAAATTCTTTACGCATATGAACTGAATTAGTCTTCACAAAATCTCTGTACTCTAGATACTATTATCTATTATTAATCTTTATTTTACAGATATGGACACTGAAACACAGGTTAAGTCTATTGTCTATGATCTAACTGAGCTAGAATTAAAAGGCAAATAGTTTGGCGCCAAAACTAAACTCTTTCTTTTTTAATTAATTTTTTGGGGGTGACAATGGTTAATAATATAGGCTTCAAGTGTACAATTCTATGAAAACATCATCGGTATATTGCATTGTGTGCCCAGCACATAAAGTCAAATCTTCCGCCATCTCCATATATTTGACCCCTTTTACCCTTTACTACCCTTTCACCCCCCTTCCTTCTGGTAACCACCATACTGTTGTCTGTGTCTATGAGTTTTTGTTTGTTGGTTTTTCTTGCTTGTTCATTTCCATGCACTACACTGCCTTTTGCAGAAGGTAACACAAGCCTTACCGATTCGACATCTATCAGATAGAATGTTGGTCCAGTAATGACAGCAGGTTCACTCCAACTGATGTTGATGCTAAAAGGTGATGTTGCTACTACATACACATTTTCAGGAGGACCATCTGGAGCTACAAAAATAGAAAAACATTTACTCATCTATATTTGATTTAGTATTTGCTACAGTACAGTAACAGAAAAGATCATTAAAAATGGATAGCCATAATGAATTAAGTAAGCATTAATTTATTGCTTACAGCATTCTAAAGGTGTTGACAAATAAAAACATGTAATTCCTTTAAAAATTACTATACATAAAGAACTCCTACATAATAAATTAATGGTCATAAATACATGATTTTTAAACTAAAAGTAATATTGAAAAGAAAGCTTTACTATTGCTAAAATAAATCTTTTTATTCTAAAATAGATAGCCTAACAATATTGTTTTAAGAAAACTTGCAAAACATATTTGACTACAGAAAAGTGAAATTGACACAAGGTAATTAGATTCAAATGTATTGTCATATGAATGTAAATTGAGTTGGTTTTATTGTTTTCACTGAAGGATTAGCATAGCAAATAAGTTATACACTGATCTTACTACAAATGTAAACATTTGCTGGATTCATTATGATTACAAACAAATTCCTTAATTCGTTCTATTTTTATTATTTTTTTTCATCAAGAGTGCTAGGTGACATAATATTTTAAGGAACTGACTAATGAAAACCATTGTGTAGGTTTTCTTTTTAAATTAAATTTATTGGGGTAACATGGGTTAATAAGATCATATAGGCTTCAAGTGTACATTTCTATGATACATGAACTGTATATTATATTGTGTGCCCACTACCCACAGTCAAATCATCCTCTGTCAGTCAGAAAAAGCTAGGAGCCATATGATTTCACTTACATGTGAGATGTGTTTTTAATATGTGAAACCGCTAGGTATTAGAAGGGTTTATAGAATGTTAAGAAGTATTTATTCCCAGTTAATTGGCATAGACATTGACCTAGGAACAGAGTTGTATACATTTCTGTGCTCCTTTTCCCCTAGTCAATTCTAGAGACATTGAATATTGAGAAATAAGTATTTCCTAGAATTTTTAATTTTTAAATTTACATAAGCAAATATTACTGGACAAATATTATTCCCCAAATCCTGAAAATGTATACAAAAGAAAATAAAATATTCTGTTCCTCAAACAATTTATAAAAAAGAAAAAGTTGTGTGATCTTGGTCAAACAACAAAATTTCTGGATCTCAGTCTCCTCCTCATAAGCATACTCCATAGTGTTTTTAAAAAGAGGTATGAGGCGAAAACATGTGAAACTGGTCAGTTGAGTGTTTGGCCCATCATTGTCAATTAATATACTGTATTATAATAAAGGGCAAAGTAAAGACAATGACTAATTAGAAATACAAATAACCTATGAGAGAGCAAAGGGCAAAGTGCTGAATATGGATGGGGTGGAAAGTCAAGGCAAATTGCACAGAGGAGATGGGAATTGAATAGGCTTTGAAAGATGAGAAGGATTTCAATAATCAGAAGAGCAGGTTTCGGGGCACTTCTTTGGGAAGAGGGTCATAAGCAAAGCCACAAAGACGTAAACAACAGGGCCTACAGACAGATAGATTTTATTATTATAGAACTGCTTTTTTTGGTAATCTCATGTCTATTATTTTATGCATTAAAAATATTACTCCAGGAAGGGGTCCAAGCATTTCACTAGACAGCCAAAAGAATCTGTGGTACAGAAATGAGTCAGAATCCCTAAATTCAAATAGAGATATCACAGAGAGACCACTGTTCATGGAGGAATATAGTAGGGAACAAGTTTCAAACAGTAACTTGGAGACTAATTTAGGGCACATTTGATTATCATGTTAAGGAGTTAGAAGTTCATTCCTTAAACAATGAAATGTCACTGAAGGTTTTTGACAAAGGTAAGTATTCTGAAGCACTGAGTCCATATAGGCCAATTCCAAAAAACAGGCAAGATATTATGAAACCATAACTTACAAAAGAGACAGTAGATATTGATAGGAGGATATGAATCATAGAGTCATTTAGAAAATTTAAAAAAAATTATAAGCTTATTAGATGTGTACACAAACTGAGATAGAGGAAGTCTTAAAAGGTAATTCTTATATTAGTATTGGGAGAATGCTGATAGAATTCCCAACAACAGCACATTAAGAAACAGATAATGATTTTCGTTAGGGATGAGACTATGGAAGGAGATGATAAAATTGGATTTGTACTCGCTGATTCCGAGAAACTCATGAGGATTGAGTTACCTACCTGGCAATTAGAAAGATAAGTCTAAAATGAGGAAGACAGGATGGAAAAGGTTGTATTTAAAAAAATATTTCAGGTAATTCCTTACAAACTGGGTTAGTGTAAATATGGCAAATATATCTATTTTATGTGTTTCACATGTTCTGAAGAGAGCTGAAAGTTTTATTTCAATACCAGATAGGTATTTAAGATGTTAATAGTAGTGACAATCTCCAACTATATATGAATTATTGGTATAAGAACATATTTTTCAGAGAGATGATGTAAAGTATTTTCAATAATAGCAATGAACTATAAATGTTACTATAGAGCAGTGATTTTCAAACAGTGCGGAGCAAGAGGCACACTGGTGTGCCGCAAGAATTTTGAAAACAGGCAATATTTAGTCAGGGGCACTGACCTCTTTTCCCCTAGATTGTTAAATAAAAAAATGACAACAGCCAACACAACAAAAGCTGTCCAGTGTGAATGAATCAGAATTATACCTATTTTTTGGTCAGATCAGCAAAAAGTATATTTTTTTAGTGTGCTGCAGAATTTTGATAATTAGTTTCTTTATGCCATGACATGGAAAAGGTTGAAAATTGCTGCTATAGTGGTATCTAGCAAATACATGTAAGAAGTTTCTGTGGGGAAATGTCTTTGGCGTGCCAAACATATCCTTCCTACTTGTATCTCTTCTGACCCTTGGGCAATACTTTGAACATTAACTTGGAGATCCAGTCCAGACGGCCCGAGGAAGCATCCAGGGGATGCTCCAGGATCCAGGCCTCCAATGAGCTGAGAGCTGCCAATAATGATGACAGAATTGGGTCCAACACATATAGTAGAAAAGATCATGGAATCTGTGTATCCTGACATCTTCAGTTGTATTACATTTAGCTTTACGACATGACTCACATTCTAGCATAATTTGTTTAGGTTATTATACATAGTAAACGAAAGTGATGAGAACTCTCCCGCCACCAGCATAACTATGTTAGGGTGTTCTCACAGAATAATGCAATCTCTTTTCAACAGTGGTAACATTTTTCTTTTCAAACTTATTCCTTAGAAATGTTATGCTCACCTTCTCCTTAACAAACAGTAGCTCTGACTCTTTTTATTCAAAATGTTAAACGAGTGGATGGGCTTCTGGACAGTAAATATCAGTAAATATAACATTACTGATAATTATTACATACTCTCCTCACAGAGAAAACTGCTCGGAAAAATATAAAATGTTTTGTGGGTTTCAATGGCCTATCTTCTTTTTTTTATCCTTACTTGAGGACATGCTGATTTTGGAGATAGGAGAAGGGAGGGAGTCAGAGAGGGAGAGAAACATCAAGAGAGAAACACATAGGTTGCCTCTCCTACGTGCCCCAACCGGGACAGAAACGCACCCCAGACATGCACTCTGACCTGTGACCTTTTCATTTTACAGGACAACACTCCAACCAACTGAGCCACAGGGACCAGGGTTCAATGGACTATCTTCTACCTTTGACTGTGTAAAAGAGAATGGGCTAGAAGCTAAGTATAAATTTATTAGGCCCCTTGATTATTAATGTTTTTGCAAAACCTGCCTTTTAGCTCTGTAAGAACCATTGTCAGAGAAACAATTTTAAGAAAGCCCACATATTTCAAGTTGTATAAGAGAAAAATATTCTTGGCTTCTCTTCTCTTTAGGTATACCTACATGTTCTATTGGCTTTTAGATGAAATTTATGTATTTACTCAATCATCAGATATTTATTGAGCACCGCCTATGTCTTCAGCACTAAAAAAACACAAAGCCCATAGCTGTGACCAAGGCAGGTGCGGACCTATTCATATAGAACCTCTCATATGTAATGGTTCTTCTTCATTCTACAGCTGTCTAGTGAGCAATTACTACATGCTAGGCATGTTTGAGGTGCTGGAGATAGAGACGAGAAGCAAAGAGACAGGGATCATGGAAACTCCTTTTTAGCGGAGGGAGAAATAATAGTATAACAGTTTGTATAAATATACAATATACAGGTAAAAATATACCATGTAAAGAAGTATACATATCATTGCAAACAATGAAGCAAGATAATGGGAATGGGGAAGCCGATGGGAGTTACTGTGTTAAATATGGTGGTCAGAGCATGCCTCTCTAATCAGGTGACATTTAAACAGAGATTTGAAAGAGGTAGGGGAGCACGGGGATGTTTGAAAGGATAGTGTCACAGGGAGGAAAATGGGTAGTACAAAGTCCCTGAGAAAAGAGTGTGCCTGGTATGTTCTAGGAATAACAAGGACTCCAGTGAGTCTGGAATAAAGTCAGTCAGAATGAGAACTGGAAATGAAATGGGGGCCAAGCTGTGCAGTGCATTGAGGCCACTGCTTAGGTCTTTGTAGAGCTGTTATCATGGGGAAAAAAGGAGAAATGCCACAGTTTATTATCACGAACTAGAAGGGGACTCTAGAGATTTTGGTGCTTTGGATATTTTACTCATACCAGAAAGATGGATCGAAATGAATTAGATACCAGCTAGAAGAGGGCAGACGATCTATAGAACCTGCTTGATTCACATACTCCTATAAAGTGCTAGTAAACGCCTTGTCTGGTTTCAGGAACTGTAGCCTTGCCAACAGGCGAGAGGGCCCCAAGGTTGGAAGTAATCGAGGAGGCCTTAGGAAAACAGGCCACTGAGGAGATGAAACCTGTCCCCCTGGCAGGGGCTGCACCCCTCATATCATCCCGCTTGGCCCTGTGATGGTCGGTTAGTCAAAGACGGGTAAGATCTCTCAAGAGGACAGATGACCTAAGACAGATATGGCCAGTATGGGCAGCAGACAAGGACTTGGGGGACACG